GTCGGCCGCCGGGAAATACACCATAGAGTTTGGGACCCAAACCCCGTTCAGACATTAGTAATGTTATGAGAGTATCGGTAACCTTATAGTTGTCGCCCGGGATTGTAGTCCCGATGCCGTACAGTCTCAACAACACATGTCTCGGCTCATTGGCCACCGGTTCCCGACCCTCAGGCAGTGAACAGTGATATATTTGATTAGTAAAACCGCCGCTAATTAATAAATCCATTTAATTAAATAATAGTTTAATTAATTAGCCTTTCAATAAATTAATAATTACTAAATTAGTTTAATTGCACATTTTAATAAATATTTTGCTTTCTTATAAATATATATTTTTAAACCAGTTAATTATTGATTATAAATGTACATAGTACAAATATCTAAATTTACCTGAGTTGTTTTACAACTATCTCATCGCTGGTGATATTTTCCCATTGACCAGTAATAAATCTCTTGCATATATCTAGAGCCTTTTGCTCCATAATTAATTAGTTTATTTAAAAATATAAATAAATATATTTTGATCAATTATAATAATTATATGTATATTATTAGATTAATCCAACACAATTTACTAAACAATGCTATTTAATAAGATATTAATTTTTATTTTGCACAGTTGGCATAAACAAATTATTATACTTATGATGAATATAAATATGATACACATATCTAGGGACTTATAGTAATAAATTATTACTAATAATGATCAGAAAGATTTTCATGTTTTACCACTGTATAATACTTATTATTTAATGTACTTTGAGTTTAATAGTTAAAGAGTATTTTATTGGTATCTTCTATTGATTATCAAGGACAAATTGCAATTTTCATAATGTAACACAATCATTAGTATAATTTAATGACAGCATTAACTTAATACTATTAAGTTATTAAGGGGGCAGCCGAACGATCCTATAAACCTCATTATTCATTGCTGAATTGTGGTTCATTATATAATAAAAAACTAGATATATTACAAAAATTGTGGGGTTAAATTCTTAAATAACTAAACGCAAAAATAATTTGACACATATTTCAGTAACATGATTGCTTTTATAAAGAATTCAGCAAAAAGTGTGAAAACTGAAAAGTGAAAAACGCATCGGCGCTCGTGTTTATCATAACGACATTTACATTAAAAGTAATATTAAATTACACGTAATTTTTAAGGTAATGGTAGACAAACATGGAGTTACAAATATTTTAAATATATTATTAAAATTACATATTTAAAACATATGGCTATAAACATAGGCTGGTAACATAAGCGTTTGACAGGAAATTATAAAATAAGTATAATTATAAGAAAGTAATGGATGTTGGAGCAAAAATCAACAGAAAATCACCATGGGACAATTCAAACTGTATTGAAAAGCTAATATTTTGGTGGGTAAACATTTTACTATTAATTTGTGTTTAAGTTATATCTAAATATAAAATAATTTATAATATTGACTATAAATATTTATTTCTATACACATTTAAATTAATAAAGTATTTATGATATTTGTATTAACTAGGTGGATATATCCATTATTTGTAAAGGGTGTGCGAAATAATGGTTTGGATTTAGCGGACATGTGGCGGTGTTCACAATACGACGGTTCCAAGTATTTGGTTGAATGTTTAGAGAGGTTTTGCTCACTAATTATATATTGATATTTCATTTTACAATTATCGTGTTTCATTTTTTTAAAAATATCAATATATAAGATTATATAATGACTTTATAATCATAATCATGATTACTTAATTTTAAATAAGATTCTATTTATGTAGAAATTGGGACATTGAACTAAAGAAGCAAGCACCAAGATTGTATATTGCCTTATTTAAAACGTTTGCAAAATACCAGATCTTACCATTCATAGTGCATTTATTAATCGTGAGTTATAAAGTAATCTTTATATTATATTATCATAACATTTTAAACAATACTATCATTTGTAATAATGTACATTGTAATTTTCATGTAAATATAATACAAATATTTATTAAGATTAATTCGTGATAGGAATGTGTGATTCGTACGGCACAGCCATTACTACTCGGATATGTACTTGATTATTTTGCAGGCGTTGAGTCAATAAGATATGACCATGCTTGTATGGCGGCCGTGGGTGTGTGTCTGTGCAACTTATTATACTTTTTGTTTTATAATACCATTAAAATACGTTTTGCACAATTGGGAATGCGTGCCCGTACAGCATGCTGTGCACTAATATATAAAAAGGTTAATTATATTACTTATAATATCAGTATAATTCAATTATAAGATTGTTATCATGTTTAAAATAGTCACTTAAACTGAATCAGTTATCAATGGGAAAGACAACTGTCGGTCATATTATTAACTTAATGTCTAATGATGCAAATCGATTTGATTATGTACAGTATATAACTACTCTAATTTACTATAACGGACACGAATAAAACAGCTCGCACACTTTCAACCGTACAAAATATTGTACAGTATATTGTATTGTATTACAGAGTGAGGGACCAATGGATTTAAGTCTGTTTTATTTGTGTCTGTGATAGTTAAATATGTTAACTAACATTATAATAATTTGTTTTAAGGCGCCACAACTAGGCAGTTATTTTATAATAGCGCCCATTGACACATGCATAACTATATATATAATGTACACATATATGGGATGGTCAAGTATGGTGGTAGCTGGTTTGATAACTTTACTTATAGCATTTCAATTCATTATGGGCAAAATGTTTTCAAAATTTAGGTATGTGCATGTTAATACAGTATACAATATTGTTTTATAAAGCATTTATCAATTTGCTTAATTACCCAGATTAATGACGGCAAAGCTCACTGACACTCGGCTGCAATATATGGTTGAAATCATATCAGGTATGCGTATCGTTAAAATGTATTCCTGGGAGCAGTCATTCGCAGACCTCGTGGCTGAGACACGAAAGTAAATGACCATAATTTATGACACAATTGGCAAATAATTATATATAATTACATAATATTCCATCTAAATAGACAGGAAGTGTCGTGTTTACAAAAATCTTGCTTTTTAAAAGCAATCAATATGTCGGTGTATAGTATGGCATCCAAGTTGATTTTATTTGTAACATTTATTACCTTGGTACTCACTGGTAGTGTACTGAACGCTAAGACTGTATTTGTATCGATGGTGCTATTAAACTTTGTAAGAGACAATATGACTTGGTGGTTTCCAATATCAATCGCTTGTGGCGCCGAGTTATTAGTTACATGTAACAGAATTCAAGTACTATTGACCATGGTGTCAAAATGATATGAGAAAAACATTTACTTACTTATATTTAATATCTCTTTAGAAATGTTTACTATTAGGAGAAACACAAATAAAATCCATTCAAAACCAAAATAATTTCTGTAATAGTGAAACAAATAGCAAACAATCGCCCGAAATGTCCATTAATAACATAACAGCCAAATGGAGTGATGTGTGAATTTATATTTCATGTTTGCAAATAAGTAACTATTTTTAAAATAAATAAATCATTCATAGGAGAGTCCGTATCCAACCCTTCAAAATATTTTGCTACATTTAAAACCCGGAGATTTATTGGCAGTTATCGGACCGGTGGGGGCGGGAAAGGTATAACAACTTTGAATAGTAAACTATAATTCAATGATAATTATTACTATTAATAATTAATAACTATTTAGAGCTCACTATTGATGACAATTCTAAAAGAACTGCCGCTTCTGTCGGGGAGTATAGAAACCATGGGATCGATAAGCTATGCCTCTCAGGAGTCCTGGAGTTTCAACACTAGTGTCCGAAATAATATACGTTTTGGTAAACAATTTACTAAATCCCGATATAATCGAGTGGTAGAGGTGTGCGCTTTGGAGCGAGACTTTGAGAGATTCCCGTTCGGAGACAAGACATTAGTCGGTGAGAGAGGAGTACAGCTGTCGGGCGGACAGAAGGCCCGCATCGGGTTAGCCAGGTTTGGGTCATTTCATTATAAACTATACAGTGCTATACATAAGATTGCCAATTCATCGAGGTTTGCCTTGATCGTCAAGGACAGGGAATTTTATCAAGGTGTAAGGCGAGGGTCTTTACTTGAAATTGTAATGTCAAGGAATGCAAAAATCTATAGATGTACATTTTTTAAAATTACAAAACAATTACAATAATTTGTATCCATATATAGAGCTCTGTATCGAAACTCTGACATTATATTAATGGACGACCCGTTGAGTGCTGTCGACACTAGTGTTGCCGAACATATATTTGATAAGTAATGCAATAATTGTTATAATCATAAGTGCCCGATTCGTTCACCAGCGTGAACACAGCATAGGAATTATACATTATAAACGGGGGGCGTCTATTAATTTCGGGCTCTCTTGGTTATAATTATTAATAATAATGATTATAATATATTATCATAAATAAGTTTAACATATAATGTATTCGCAATATAATGAACACCAGATGTATAGTCGACTACTTGTGCGACAAAATCCGTATTCTAGTCACACATCAAATCCAATTCATACGAAAAGCGACACAAATATTGATAACATATAATGTATTCGCGATATAATGAACACCAGATGTATAGTCGACTACTTGTGCGACAAAATCCGTATTCTAGTCACACATCAAATCCAATTCATACGAAAAGCGACACAAATATTGGTTTTGAACGACGAGGGAAAGTGTCTGGGATTGGGATCCTATGATGAGCTCCAGTCCCGGGGCTTAGACTTCATGTCTATTCTCAGCGATCGGGAGAGAGAGCCAGACATGAAGGCAGAGGATGGGGAGGGGGAGGACAGGGAGAGGAGACTTAACGGTTATGACACTATAATAAAATTTCAGACAACTTCAGTGGACGAGTGTTTGGCGACTAGAAATGTAGTCAATATCTATAATATAATGTATCAATATTTTGAATAAATACACATATATTTTGATTAAGACTGAAGTGGAAAACACTGAACCGAAAATAGCTGACGAGTACAGGGAAACGGGTTCATTATCTGGCAAAGTATATAGCACATTTATTAAAGCAGGCGCCGGGCCATTGCTATTTTTCAACACCATTTTATTTACGATCATCGCTCAAACTATTTATCATGGATCGGACTATTTTTTAACTCAATGGTAAATATGTGATAAATTTATTTAACATGTTTAAATTTCAAAAAATAATATCCAATTTTACAACAGGACTGACAAAAATCAAAACACGGATAACACGAACACATGTGAACAGAACAGGGATGCGATTATCTACTCCTTACTGATGGCCGCGCTGTTCATCGCATCCCTATTGAGAGCCATCACATGGTTTGTAATGTTTATGATGGCTTCAGTTAATCTCCACAACAGTATGTTTTATCGTCTATTACGGGCCCCGATGTATGTGTTTGAAAATAACCCTGATGGTTTGTCAATTTAATCATTATATAAACCAATAAATAATATTAATTATAACAATTAGGTCGGATATTGAATCGCTTTTCAAAAGATCTTGGTACAATAGATGAGCAACTGCCGGAAACAGCCTGGGGGTTCAATTTGGTAATTTACTTAAAAGTGACCCATTTAGTCTTCAGATGGCCTAACGCATTTTGATTGGCATGGACTTGTTTGGAATGGTCTACAAGTTTATTATTCACATAAAATTGGGGCGATTCATCACATTGCTATCTACCTAAATGTTTTTCTATGTTTTAAACGCTATGTATATATTTTGACCATAATTCGGTCATTTCTGGCCATTTGCCGATTATCTCAACAAGAAATAAATCTGTAGACCATTCCAAACAAGTTCATACCAATCAAAATGGCCTAGACCATTTGAGGACCAAATGGGTCCCTTTTTAGTTGCGTAAAAATAAATTTAAATTGTTTATAACTTAATGATTTCTGTTTATAATATAATACGAGGCTCTGACTCAAGGAATCGGTGGAATAATCATGATTGTGATCGTCAACCCATACTTAATAATACCAGCATTTGTCTTAATTGTAGTGCTCTTAGCAGCTAGGGCTATTTACATGAAGTCTGCTAGGGACATTAAACGGGCCGAAGGTTTAAGTAAGTTTTAATTAAAAACAATATAATATATTATAAGTTAATGGTCGGAAATGTTAATTTCCTATAATAACAAATAGCCCGGAGTCCAGTGTATTCACACGTGAGCACTACACTCAACGGGTTGGCCAGTGTCAGAGCCTATGGGGCGCAGGAGATGTTTGAAAAACAATTTTACGTGTACCAAGATGATCACTCGGCCACCTGGATGCTCAACTTGACCGCTAGCGTTGCATTTGCTTTAATAATGGACGGACTATGCTTTCTTTATATTGTAATTATATTCGCGGTGTTTATGGTATTCCCCGAAAAGTTGGGAGCGAGCGATGCGGGACTCGCTTTATCATCAGGTTTGTTTTACATTATACACGTTGATAGAATTGACCTGATTCAAATTTCGATACTTGATAGTTTACTAATATTATAAAAATCCCGCTGTTTCCGATTTTTAATATTTATGGAAATTTAATTGTAGCTTTTATCAAAATTTTGTTAAACCCCGTAGATCAATATTTGCAGGTAGAATATAAAAATAGTGAATCTTGAAAATAAATGTCTAAAAATGTATTAATTAATTTATTTATATAATAATTTAGCTCTACTGTTGTCGGGAATGACTGAATGGGGAGTCCGTAAGTCGGCAGAAATGGAGAGTCAGTTGACTTCAGTCGAGCGCATCATTGAGTACTCAAAACTACCGCAAGAGGCGGCCCTCACAGCGCATGAGAGCCGCAAACCACCCGCCGATTGGCCACAAAAGGGACGGATAGAGTTCAGAGATGTGAGCCTATACTACAAGGGATCGGACGAACCGGTGCTCAAGAACTTGAATTGCGTTATAAAGAGTGGAGAGAAGATAGGGATCTGTGGGCGGACGGGCGCCGGCAAGTCGTCCATTATATCGGCGCTGTTTCGTATGGTTGAGCCGAAGGGGAATATAATAATGGACGGCCTGTCTGTCGGGTCGATAGGTTTGCGTGAATTGCGGTCAAAGATCTCAATCATACCTCAGGATCCGGTGGTCTTCACGGGAAGTATCAGAAAAAATTTGGATCCTTTCGGCGAATACAGCGATCAATACATATGGAGTGCCTTAGAAGAGGTGCAGCTGAAGAGGGCGGTGGGGGACCTCCCGGGCCAGTTGGACGCCCAGTTGGCCGAAGGGGGCGCTAATCTGAGTGTAGGTCAGCGGCAGTTGATATGTCTGGCGCGGGCTATACTGCGCCACAATAGGGTACTAGTGCTGGACGAGGCGACCGCTAATGTTGACCACAAAACCGATGCCTTAATTCAGACCACAATTCGTGACAAATTCAGTGACTGTAC